GAGTATGGATAGTGTGTCCTCTAGTTATTTAAATTGTCTACAATGGTAACAAAATTTGGAGTGAAAAGGAAAACTAAGAACCAGATCCTCCAGTGGCTACAGGTTGCTAGATGAGAGGAAGAAGAAGGGCAGAGGGATGGTATCAACCTCAGAGTATAGATTTTTGCTAGAGTAGGGACAAGTGATGGTCTAGAAGTGGCAGGGAAAAACTAGGGCTAATTGTGGAGAAAGAAGAGAGAAGACGAGAGCTATCATTTATTGAGACAGTAAGAGCCACATTTCTGAAGGTAGGCTGCATGAGTTTGAATCGAAGCTCTGCCACTGTGACCCTTCATCAAGTTACTCATTCTCTAGGCCTCGATTTCCTTGTCTATAAATACAGATAATGATAAATCAATCTCATAGAATTGTTCTGAGGATGAGGGCAGGAAGGGGAGAAAGCCAAGGCTGACAAGGTGGCAAGATCCAGGTAAGGGGAGTGAGACAGCCACCGCCCAAAAGGCAGGAAGGAGGGGAAGCCAGGGCCGACAAGGCCGCAGGATCCAGGTAAGCGGAGGCCGGAGAGGTTTCAAACAACTAAGGGAGATGAACTTGTCTGTCAGTTTGCCTTACTGTGCTGGCTTGTGTGTTGCTGTGAGGCTGGAGGCTATGCCACCGGTGTTTCAAAGGCCAGCAGGGTTGCCCATGGTATACAGATTTCATTGCAGCTTACAGACTGAGACAGACTAGGAAAAAGGAAGAAGCCATCCATTCCTCAAAGAACTGGCCAAGGAAAACGTTATGAATAGCAGAGAAACACTGTCTGATACATTACTAGACAACTTTATGAATAGCCCAGGAACATTGTCTGACACAATGCAAGAAGACCAGCCCCTTAGGTCAGAAGGCACTCAAACTACAACTGGGAAAAAGCTGCATCATCAGAGTAGAACCTACCTTAATGATAGGGATAAAGCTTTCAGGACCTCCATTTGCTGACGTGACACGACTCAAACTGAGAAACAGCTGCAGACATCCATT